GGAATCCGTGGAACTCTTGCAACGTTTTAAAAACGACTGTGCGCGGCACTAAGGCGAGAGACACATTTTGAAAACGACCCGCCCTCAATCCGCGAAACCCCCGCAATTCTTTACAGCGGATGCGCGCGGCGCCCAGGCGAGAGCCACATTTTGAAAACGACACGCCCTCAACCCGCGAAACTTTTGCAACTTTCTACTACGAATGTGTGCGTCGCTAAGGCGAGAACCACAATTTGAAAACCACCCGCCCTCAATCCGTGAAACTCTTACATATTTAAACCGAATGTGCGCGGCGCTGAAGGGAGAGCCACATTTTGAAAACGGCCCGCCCTCCATTTGTGAAACTGTTGTCATGTTTAAGCTGCAGGGGCATAAAGGGTGAGGAAGTCTCAGGCGACACGCCCGGCCCGCCCTAAAAACTAGCCTCGGCATGCGACAAGGAACAAATATTTCTAAGGAAAAGGAATGGAGCAGGAGGAGGAGGAGGAGGAGGACGACGATGAGAAGGAGGAGGAGGGAGCCGGTGACCCCACTGCTCTGTGCAAAACAAGAACCCGACCAAAAAAGATTGGGAAAAAAACGAAACATCATCCGGGTGGGCAGAGGCGGTGGCCCTCCGGGCGGCCAGAAGAGTGCGGAGGCGATGGGTCATTATCAGCCTGGAACATATCCCCATCCCTATGCTGGGCACCTCCTCATCACGATGCCAATCTTAGGGATTCCCTTGTTTTTTGAGGGCGAATCCCTAAGATTGTCATCGCCTTTTGGCGTGTCAATCTTGAGGATAGGGATACGCTCGAGGCTGGCAAGGTCAGGGACGTTGCTGCGCGCCAATTCCCGGCGCGGCGGCCAGCGATTCCAAGGAGGCCGCCCGGACGAGCTCGCCGGCCTGGCCGCGGGCTGCTCGTGGGCCAGCGAGGGAGCGCGGGCGAAAGGGGAGCAGGAGGGGAAGGGCGAGGAGGAGGGGTGAAGGGGGGGAGGAGGAGCAGTAGGAGGGGGAGGAGGAGGAGGAGGGGGAGGAGGAGGAGGAGGAGGAGGAGGAGGAGGAGGCGGCCGAGGAGGAGGAGGAGGAGGAGGAGGAGGAGGAGCGGTGGGAGAGAAGGGAGCGCATGGGGAAGAGGAGGGGGAGGACCAGAGTAAGCCCGGGATGCGCGCACGGGTCTGCAAGATATGCTCCCGTTCCAAGGCCCCTTATCATGAATCCCTACTTTCTACTGCGAAAAACACTCCTTGACAGACGACTGCCCCATGGGCATGCTGTTCAGGCGAGATCCAGCTTTGTACAGGATCCACCCTCCATCCCTCGAGCTAAAAAAACGGAGGAGGCATGATCAGAAAGTCCGAGGAAGAGCCGAACGAGAGCCCCAATGTGGAAAGGATATGCCCTCCTTAAGCGCATGCATCTGTGACACCATCGGGAACTCCAGATCATAAGAAGCATCGAAGTCTCGAGCAGGAACCCCATGTTGGAAAGACATCGCCCTCCATCGGTGCAGCTGTTGCGCATGCTTAACACGAGTGCGCGCGGGTCAAAGGCGAGAGAGGCCCGTGTTACAGAGGTGCCGCCCTCCATCCGTTCAATTGCTGGAAACGTTTACGACAAGCGTGCGCAGCCGCCACGGCGAGAGTCCCTATTTTCCCCCAGATTAGGCTCGCCTAAGGGAGGGGCTCCTACTCGGTGGTGAAAGGTTGGTGCCTCCTATTGTTGCTTTCCCATTCCTCGGAGGTTCCTCGGGTTCCCAGGGCTCCTCGGGAGCTTGGCATTCCTTTGCAATGCCAAGCAATGCCAAGCGATGTGCCCAGCGATGCGTCCTTGCAATGGGCTTTTCCCCTAATTGGGGTCGCGCCGGGTTCATCAAAAGGTACTGCCCTCCATCCAAGTCAATGAAGGAAGTGTTCAAGACGAGAGTGCGCGGCGCTAGAGCGAGAGCCCCACTTAAAATGGTCCCCCCTTCCGGCCGTGCAACTGTTGGGAAGGTCAAGCTTCACGAGGTCGAGAAGGTGGAGGAAGAGCAGGACGGAAGAGGCAGACTGGAGGAGGGAGAGCTCGTTCCCTCCCGTGCCCCAGCATGGAGGGAGCCCCACTTCTCGGCTGCACCACCCCACGCGGCAGGAGAGGGCGGGGAGGAAGCGGAGGAAGGAGAGGAGCGGGCGGGGGAGGAGGGGGGGAGAGAGGAAGGGAGCAAGGGAGGATCAGAGTGGATCAGCGAGAGGCGGACCAAAGCCCGGTCATCCCTCACCTCTGCTCCCCCGGGCCTGGAGGCCAACACCCCCGCTGCCCTCTTCCACGCTGCCTCGGGGAGAGGAGGGGGGGAGGGAGGTGAGGAAGAGAAGAGGGAGGAGGAAAAAGGGGAGGGGGGAAGGGAAGGGGAAGAGGAGGGGAGGGACGGGAGGGAAGGGAGGAGAGGGGAGGGGAGGAGGGAGGGAGGAGAGAGGAAGAGGGAGGAGGGAGGGGGGGGGACGGGGGAACGAGGCGGGCGCTCCGCCAAGCCTCGCGGCGCTCGCCGCTGCCGCCGCGCGCCGCGGCAGCTCTGCGCGCGCCCGCGACCGGCTGCGCAGGCTCCTGCGCGGCGCTCGCCGGCGGCGCGCGCCAGCGGCGCGCGGCAGCGCACGGCGGCGCGCGCCGTGGTGGGCGACGCGGGCCCCGCTGAGACGAAGCCAGGGCGAAGTGTTGGCACCCGGGGCATGACGCACATCCGCGGACTTTTCGCCCAGGGCGCTGCGCAGGCAAGGCCAGATCAGGGCTGGCAGGCTCCCTGAGGGCCAATGGCACTGCATCGCAAATTAAACAAAAATCCGATAAAATCGGGGGGAGATAAATCGGGAATCTCTCACATCCGGCGGCTCCGGAGGATGTCTCAGGCACCGCGGCCTTCCCGGAGCGTTCCAGAACGTTGTGGAACGGGCTATCCTCGTCCTGGCCCCGCCCGACCCTGCCCTGACCTCCCAACTGACCAGAGCTCGGGCGCGCCGAATAAAAACTTCCGACGGCCGCGCAGGAGGCGCTGCCCCAGGAGCTGCCACTGCCCCACGGACTGCTGGCAATCCTGCGCTGGCCTCCTCAGTGGCCCCCCGCATCGCAGCCATCGGAACTCGGCGGGTTGCAGCTCGACTGCCAGCCGAAACTCCACTCACCGCAGCCAACATGGCTACCCTCGAAGCCAAGCCTTGGGATCAGGCTGGCGCCCTGCCTCCTCCTGCCTCGCTGGCGGCCGCCCCTCCTCTCGCAGCCGTCGCCTTATAGCCCGCGTGCAGGGTCGCGACCGACTTCGCCATCGCCTCGGAGACCCCCGCCGCGCCCTCGTTCGCCTCCCAGAGGTACTGGTGGAAGGCCCCATTGTTCCACCTCCCCCACCGCTTCGCCAACTCGGTGTCCTGGAAGCAGTGGTACAGGGCGGTCGCTCCACTGACGCGGAGCGAATCCCGCGATGCCGGGGAGGCGTCGGCTCTCGCAGCTGCCGAGGAGCTGCCCGCACGAGCTTTTGGAGGCGCGGCCTCTACGAGCTGCCAGCGAGCTGCGGGAGGGCTCGGGAAGCGCAGCCCAGAGCCACGGAGAAAGGGGGGGGGCTGGCGCACCAAGGCCCCATACGAGCGGGGACGAGCGGGGGGGGGGAACGCAGTCCAAGAGGAAGGGGGGGGCCTTGGTGTCCGGGAGGTGTCATGGCTCCGACCACGATGTCCACGAACTTTTCCCGTCGGCGGCGAAGCAAAGAAACTGCTCCAGCGGGTGACGATTCGGGCCAACCGAATGGCGAACTGGCCAGCGTGCTAGAAGGGGGAAAAAGGACTAGGGCGGCCGCGCAGAGGGCCAGGAGGAGAACCTCTCAGACGTGGAAGACTTCCGCGTCGAGTGGGCCAGTGCAGCCAGCCGTGGCAGCGGTGGCCTTGCCAGCAGCCGGGCCGTGGCGAGGGCGCACCCACGGGCGCTGCCAGGGCTCAGTGACGACGTCGAGCATGTGTTGAAGCAGTACTGGAGTCCAGATTCGGGGCCGCCAACAGCAGAATGCTGTGCCCACCAGGTGTGCTGGTTGTATGGAACTGCGCCCTAGCGCAGCGTCCGCAGCTGGGCGTCACCAGGGTGGGGACTGCACGCCAGGAGCGGCAACGAAGCAGTGCCATGGCGGCGCGCGAGGAGGGGGAAGCGGGCGAGGGAGGGGCGGGGGGAGGGAAGGGCAGAGGAGCGCCCCGCCCGCGGGAGACCCCCGGCGGGCAGGGCGGCAGCAGCCCGCAACCCAGCGCCGCCAGCGTGCAAGGGCGTGGGGAAACCCACGGCTGAGTTGAACCAGCTGTGCCAGAATGTCGGCTGCGCTGCGGGGCGGTCAAACTTAGGCCGTTAGGCCAAAGGGGGGGGCCGGAGGCAGGTCCGCGCGCCGCCAAAGGCGGGGGGCCCGGCCGGCAAAGGGGACCGGGGCTGCAGGGCAGCCAAGCAGGATGGAGAGGGGGAGAGGTGCACCTGATCGGTGCAACACCTTGTGGAATTAAGGCAGCGCGCCGCCCAGGCAGACAGCGCGCGGCCAGACTGAACGCACCTGATCGGTGCAACACCCTGCGGAAGTATGGCTGCGCATTGTCCGGGAAGACGGCGCGCAGCTAGAGGGGGGCCAGCCTGGGTATCAGGTGTAGGTGCCGCGGGCGGCTCTGATCTGGTGTTGTGGCCCTCGTGGGACGGTAGTCCGGCGGGTGGCACTGGGAGCGGGAGCAGCGCAATGCCGGCCAGCCCTGCCCCGTGGCCCGAGCCGGGTCCCGCGGGGTTGAGGATAGGCACCTTTATAGACCTGGTAGGCCTGGTACGCGTGGCCTCACCTAGTTGTTCTCGGGCCAGGTAGGATCAGCATGCCGCTTGCCCTTCCCCTGCGGGCCGTCCCCTTGCCTAGACCGTCGTCACGGCGGCCCTGGGCGGAGTCCCTGTGACGCTGGCGTTGGCAGACTCTCTCCTGGTCCACCTGATTGTTGCGGTACCAGCAGAAGGCGGCGGATGTCATGGTGGAACCAATCGAGCTCAACAAGGAAGTCTGTGTAAAGTTTGTCCTGGCCGGAGGTTGTAGGTGCTTCACCTTTTGTTTTTTGTTTTCCGCCCGATGTCCACACACACACACACACACATACGCACGCACGCTCACACGCACACACGCACACACGCACACGCACACACACACACACACACACACACACACACACACACACGCACGCACGCACGCACGCACGCACGCACGCACGCACGCACACACACACACACACACACACACACACACACACACACACACACACACACACACACGCACACACGCACGCACGCACACACGCACACACACACGCACACGCACACACACACACACACACACACACACACACACACACACACACACATATCTCTGGTCTTAGCCCTCCTCTTCGACACATGGTGGTTTGGGGGGTCCTGCCTCGGGCCTGCGACGGCCACTCGGAAGGATCTGGGCAGACCCACAAGGCGCTCTCGACAAGGCGCGGCTGTCGGAAAGCATTCCGAAGCGCGAAACCCTCCGAGAACCAGCGAAACCTTCCTCCCGCACACCCCTGAAGAGCCTTTTTTCCCAACCATCCTGTGGTGTTGGGTCCTCGTTTTGAAGAGACGTCGCCCCGCGTTCCTTCCTTCCCGCTGCCCCCTCCCTCCTCCCATCTTCATCATCATCGTCATCATCCCCATCATCGTCATCGTCATCATCATCTGTCGTCATCATCATTATCACCACCCATGTCGGCACACCCCTCACACGTTTCGTGACCCCATAGGGAGCTCCACCGAAGGTCCCAGTGCGTGTGCCCGCATGCGTCCCGCACACTCATTTCGGCACACCCCTCACACGTTTCGTGGCCCCATAGGGAGCTCCACCGAAGGTCCCAGTGGGTGTG